TCGGCGTAGACCACCAGATACCACTCGTTGACCGCCCCCGGATGAACGCCGGCCAGGAGCGCAAAGTTCCCTGTCACCATCAGCCTTTGGATGTGATGGGCGTAGGCGTTCTCGCGGGTCTGGGACACCGCCTCGGACAGACAGACCATCTCGGTCTCGCCGGTCCAGTAGAAGGTCGGCAGGTCCCGCCGGGCGTCGAAAAAATTCTTCTCGGCGTAGTCCGGCATCTTCAACCAGTAGAGGCCCCGGACGAACTCTCGCCAGCCCAGGACCTGGCGGATGAAGCCCTCAACAGCGTTCAGGGGCGCATCGCCCTCACGCCAGGCCCGTTCGACCCGTGCACAGACCGCCTGAGGGTCAAGAAGACCGGCGTTGAGGTACTGAGAGACGACCGAATGGAACAGCGTCGCTTCACCGAAGGCCATGGCGTCCTGATAGTCGCCGAAGTTCGGCAAACGCTCCTGCACGAAAGCCTCGAAGGCTGCCTCCGCCTGCTCGGCCGTAACGGCGAACCAGAAGGGCTCGAGCGTGCCGAAGTGGTCCGGGAAACGCGCACCGACCAGGGCGACAACCTCCGTCGTGATCTCGTCCGGCACAACACGCAGAACATCCGGTACGGGCAAGTCTTCGGGCAAGGCTTTGCGGTTGTCCTGATCGAAGTTCCACTTGCCGCCCTCGGGCTCGCCACCGGGATCGATCAGGAAGCCGGTACGGCGCCGCATCTCGCGATAGAAGTATTCCATCCGCAAGGACTTGCGGCCTTTCGCCCAGTCGGCGAATGCCGCTGGGCTGCAAAAGAAACGGCTGTCTTCGCGGATCTCGGTCGTCAGTCCCAGATCCCCTTCCCAACCCCGCATGACCTCGCGGAGCCGCCACTCGCCGGGTTCCGTGACGACAACCCTGTCCGGGCGGTGACGCGCGACGGCGCGGCGGACTTCACCCTCGAAGCTGCCACTGTTCTGAGGGTCGTCCAGTGTGACGTAGTCGACGGCGACGCCCTCGCCCTCCAAGGCCTCGGCGAAGTGGCGCATGGCCGAAAAGAGGAAGGCGATTTTCTTCTTGTGATGACGGACGTAGGTCGCCTCTTCCCAGACCTCGACCAGCAGCACGCGGTCGCGATCCGGGTCCAGATCGGACAGGGACGCCAGGCCCCGGCTAAGCTGATCGCCGAGTACCGGGCGCAGCGTCGCAATCGGCATGTTCGGGAAAAGAGCTTAGCGGTCGTTCTGGTTGTTCAGCAGCCGGTTCTCGCGTTCGTTTTCCTCGCCGGCGAAGAAGCTGACCCGCTCCAGATCGTCGGGAATGCCGCCGCGAAAGTACTCGATCTGCTCGCCGTTGATCTCGAAAGCGGTCTTCACCCACTCGTTGTTGGCGTCGTACCAGATATCGAGGTCGAGATCGCCGCTCATGCGGTAGTGACGCGCCTCGATAACCTCGCCGTCGACCCAGACATCCGAGTCTCCGATCAGCCTGGTCGATACCTCACGGATCTTGCCTTTCTGCGTGTCGAGCAGCCGCTCGGCCTGCACCATCTCGTAGTTCCAGTAGCTGGTGGAGAGAAGCGCCGTCGGCACGGTCTCGCTGCCGTTCTTCGTCTCGATCCGCATTCCCTCCGGCGTCTGCTCCGCGCGCACGAAGTACTTGTCTCCGTCGTCGTTGGTCTCGGTCACCAGACTGACGAGTTGACCGTCGCGCCAAACCTCACGGTTTTCATGATTGTAGCGGAAGAAGGTGAAGGGCCCGACTGTTACCTTCAGATCGATGGTCACCAGCACCTCGAGTTCACCGTCGCGCTCCATGAAGCTGAGGCGGTGTTCGCCCATCGGCGAATCCCCGCGCAGAACACGGAAGTCGAGACCGCCGTCCGTCGGGATGGACGCAACTGCCGGCAGACACAGAGCGGCGGCAAGGCCGCCTGCAATCACCGCACGCAAGGGCAGAAGTCTTTGCAGGGTCATGACGTCCTCATTCTCGAAACAATCGGAGCGGACAGCACATCCGCGTGGCAAGGGCGCCCGGCAAGGCGATCACCCTCATTTGGGAAGTGATACGTAAGAATCACCCGAGTGGATGATCATCATGGTTAAGAAAGTCTGAAACCGCCTGAAGAACTGCGGAACGGTCCGAGGCCGATCGTCCGAATCCTGCCGCATGGCCGGACAGGCTTTCGATCGGCCGGACACGGGCTTTCGGGAAGGCCGCCGCCTCGGCCGCGACCTGCGCAGGGGTGAAGTAGGCATCGCTGGTCGACGGCAAGAACAGGATCGGCAGGCGCGCCCTGGCGGCAGCCGAGGCAGAGTCTTCGCCGGGGTTGGCAATGTCGTGTGCCCGCCAGGTGCGCAGATGGCAGATCAAGTCGTTGGCATCGCGGTCATGGTAGCGGCATCGCCACTTCGCGAGAAAACCCTCCAGGTCGTGGGCAGCCGTATCCTCGTAGTCCAGATGATGGCCGAGGCGGAAGAAGTCCGGAGAGAGGGCCCAGGGCGCCCAGGTTTCGGACAGGCGCGACAGGCCCTCGAGCGGTGGCGTGCGGTATCGGCCAGCCGCGAAGGCCGGATCGCCGGTCAGCGCCTGCTCCAGGCTGTGCAGAAAGAGTTGCTGGTGCAGGCCGGCGCGGGCCGATCCGACGAGAACGACCGCGCGCGCCACCCGGTCCGGATGGCTGACGGCCCATTGCAGCGCCTGCTGCCCGCCCATGCTTGCCCCGATCACGGCGGCAAGGCGTGCCACGCCGAGATGATCGAGCAGCCGGGCTTGCAGAGCCACGTTGTCGCGGATGGTGACGAGCGGAAAATCCGGACCGTCGAAGGGCGGCGGCGTGTTGGAGGGCGATGACGAACGGCCGTTGCCCAGCAGTTCGGTCTGGATCAACCAATGGCGCGTCGGATCCAGCGGGCGACCCGGTCCGACCAGATAGTCCAGGTCGACCGGCGTTTGCGCGAACGCGGTGCAGGTCAGGATCGGCTGGCCTTCGCCCACCCGCCCGAGGCTCCGATAGGCCAGGCGGGCACGCGGCAAGACCCGACCGCAGGCCAGCGGCCAGTCGGCAACCTCGAAAAGCTCGTAGGGCGGCGGCGCGGCACTGGTCATCTCGGCAATCTCACAGTTGTATGCCCCACGGCAGCTCAATAGCCTAGCCGCAGCCGAAGTCAGATCCGGACCACCAAGGTAGCGCCATGAAGCCTTATGATGCCAAACCGCTTCCCCCGCGCGATCCGGATCTCCGCGCGGAGGAGAATCACTACTGGAGCTATCACAGTCTGGACGGGCTTCTGGCTTGCAAGCAGCCGATCACGGCCTCCCAGGACGAAGACCTCTTCATCGCGGTCCACCAGATCTGCGAGCTGGCTTTCCACCAGATGATCCTGGACCTGGAGCGCGTGCTGGAGTCACTCGCCGCCGCGGACCGCGCGGAGGCGGCCTACTTCCTAAAGAGGGTCAACAAGCTGTGGCGTACGGTCAACGCCACCATGCCCATTCTGGGCGGCATGCGCGCCTTCGCCGAGTTTCGCACCTCGATCGGCCCAACCAGCGGCTTCCAGTCGTTCCAGTTCCGGCGCCTAGAGATCATGAGTGGCGTTCCCCGCTACTGGCAGGGCGGAACCGCCGATGCGACGGGTGCGGTCCACGTCGCCGAAAGTGAGTTCGAGAGGCGTTACGGCGCCCAAGTGGCCGAATGGCTGGAGCGCTACCGGCACCACGGACTGACCCACTACTACCGGCAGCTTCTGGAGAGTACGGCCATCGAGGATGTCTCCGCAGCGCTGGCGAATCTGCGCCGAGACGACGCCACGGCAGCGCTGCTCGCCGACTTCGCCGCCTACGATCGCCATCAACTTCAGTTTCATCGTGCGCACCTGCAGTTGGCGACACGGCAGCTTGAAATCGTCGGCGTCGAGGTCGGGACCGGCGGAACGTCCTTCCGCGACTACCTGCAGACCTACGACAAGACCGTCGCGCCGCTTTTCCCAGGACTCTCCGGCGGCACCGAAGGGGACGAGGCATGAGCCAGGCGTCCGAGGACTTCGGCGCCTTCGTCGCCGGACCGCGGCGTTTCCTGAAGGGGCAAGCAGACGGCCCGCTGACGGGTCTGACGTTCGTCGCCAAGGATCTCTACGACACGGTCGGCGACGTCACTGGAGCGGGTAACCCCGACTGGGCAGCCAGCCATCCGCCGGCCGACCGCACCGCCAGCCTGATCGAAACCCTGCTCGCGGCCGGCGCGGATCTGGTCGGCAAGACCCACACGGACGAGCTTTCGCGCGGCATCTTCGGGCTGAACGCCCACTACGGAACGCCGCTCAACCCCGCTGCCACGGATCGCGTTCCAGGCGGCTCCTCCAGCGGTTCGGCGGCGGCCGTCGCCGGCGGTCTGGCCGATATCGGGCTCGGCACCGACACCGGCGGCTCGGTCCGCGTACCGGCGGCCTACTGCGGTCTCTACGGCCTGCGCTGCAGCCACGGCCGCCTACCCTTCGACGGCGTGCTGCCGCAGGCGCCCAGCTTCGACACGCTGGGCTGGATGACCCGGGATGCGGCCACTCTCCGCCGGGTCACCGAGGCCGTGTTCGGCAGCTGCACGAACAAGCCGTTTCGGCTGGTGCTGCCGGACGACGCCTGGGCTGTGGCGAGCGAGGAGACACGGCAGGCGCTGCAACCGCAACTCGACAAGCTCACGCTGGCCGCGACGGAGGTCACGCGGACGACGCTCGCCGACGAGGGACTGACGGTCTGGCGCGACCGTCAGATCGCGCTGCAGCAACGCGAGGCCTGGGCGAACCTGCAGAGCTGGATCCTCGAGAAGAATCCACGCTTCGCCTACAACGTCGCCGCAAACTTCGCGGCTGGTGCCGCATTGGATCCGCAAGTCCACGAAGCCGCAGTCCATGGCTGGCCGTCAATGCGCAGCGCCGTCCTGGAAGACCTGGACGAGGACACTGTGCTTTGCCTGCCGACCGTTCCCGATCCGGCCCCAAAGCGAAGCGCCTCCGCGACCGAGGCCTACCGCGACTGGCCACGGATCGCTCAACTCACCTGCATCTCGGGCCTCGCCGGAACGCCGCAAGTCACGATGCCGGCCGGTCGGGTTGCCGGCGGCCCGGTCGGACTGTCTCTCATCGCCGAACCGGGCGGAGACAGCGACCTGACAGCTCTTGTGGAAAGCCTCTCTGACTGACGCAGCTCAAAGCACTGAGCTACAACGGTGCAAATGAAATATGACAGTTTCATGCATATCGCATGAAACACATGAATAATATGGAGTTCGTACACAGTTAAACTTGACCCACCTCAATGATTTTCCCGCTTGAGAGCCGCAAATTACCGCCAACAACCAATCGTTGGAGATCCGGGAGGAGGTCAAGTCATGGCGGTGCGAGATCTTTTCAGGATCGCTCGCGGCCCCTCACTGAATCGCCGGCGGTTTTTGCTGGCCGGTGGTGCGGCGGCAGCCTGTGCCGCCAGCGGTCTCAAACTAGGCTTCGCCCTGCCGAACGATCGGGAGCTCCTGACCTCCAGCCACTGGGGAGCTTTCCGAGCGCGCGTCGTGGACGGCAGGTTGGTCTCGGTCTCGCCCTTCGAGCGCGACCCCTTCCCCACGGCGATGATCCAGAACTTTCCGGCAATCCTCTACGACAAGTCCCGGATCGCCAAACCGATGGCCCGAAAGTCCTGGTTGGAAAAACGTGAGAAGGCCGACGGCGCGGACCGCGGCAAGGAAGCCTTCGTCGAGTTGGACTGGGATCGCGCGCTCGATATCGCCGCCGAAGAGATGCAACGCGTAAAGGCCGCCTACGGAAACGAATCGTTCTACGCGGCCAGCTACGGCTGGGCCTCGGGCGGCCGGTTCCACGCCTGCGACGAGATGACGAATCGGCTCTATGCGCTGCACGGCGGCTACGTCGACGATCTGACCAACTATTCCTTCGGCGCGGGGATGGTGCTGCTGCCCCACCTGCTCGGCAGCAATCAGGCGATCGGCGGCCCCTTCACGACTTGGCCGTCGCTGGTCCAGAACACGAAGCTGATCGTGATGTTCGGCGGGGCGACCTTCAAGAACGCACAGATCACCTGGGGCGGCAGCGGCGAACACACCACCGAGAAGTGGCTGCGCCAGTGCCACGCCGCAGGCATCGAGATGATCGCCATCAATCCCGTCCGCGAAGACGAAGTCGCCGTCCTCGGCATGGAATGGCGCCCGATCCGCCCGAACAGCGATGTCGCCCTGATGCTGGCGCTATGCCATACGCTGCTGACCGAGGGCCTCGCCGATCTCACCTTCGTCGAGCGCTACACGGTCGGCTTCGCGCGGGTGCGGCCCTACCTGCTGGGCGAGAGCGACGGTCAACCGAAGGACGCCGACTGGGCGGCCGAACTGACCGAGGTGCCGGCCGACTGGATCCGCACGCTCGCCCGCAAAATGGCGGCGCAGCGGACCATGATCATGACCGCCTGGTCCCTTCAGCGGGCGCGCTATGGCGAGCAGCCCTGGTGGGGAACCGTCCTGCTGGCGTCGCTGCTCGGGCAGATCGGGCTGCCGGGCGGCGGTTTCGGCTTCAGCTACACTTCGATCAACGGCTATGCCTTTCCGCCCAACAACGTCAGCGTTCCGGGCTTCTCGCGCGGCCGCAATCCGGTCAAGCTGCGCATCCCGGTGGCGCGTATCGCCGACATGCTGCTGCAGCCGGGCGAGGAATTCGAGTTCAATGGTCGCCGGATGACCTATCCGGACATCCGCATGATCCACTGGGCCGGCGGCAACCCCTTCCATCACCATCAGGATCTGAACCGCCTGACCCGCGCCTGGGCCAAGCCGGAGACGGTGATCGTGCAGGAGCCCTGGTGGACCCCGACCGCGCGGCGCGCCGATTTGGTGCTGCCGGCGACGACGACGATGGAACGCAACGACATCGGAGCCAGTCCGCGCGACCGCTACATCTTCGCCATGCCGCAGCTTGTCGCGCCGGTCGGCCAAGCCCGCAACGACTACGATATCTACGCCGACCTGGCGGAGCGGCTGGGCTATCGCGCCGACTTCACGGAGAACCGTGACGAGATGGACTGGCTGCGGCACCTCTACGGCAGCGCTCGGGAGCGGGCGGTCGCCGAGGGATTGGTGCTGCCCGATTTCGAGACCTTCTGGGAAGAGGGCCTGGTCGTGATGCCGCGCCCGGAAGAGCAGTACGTCTATCTGGCAGACTTTCGTGCCGATCCGGAAGCCAATGCCCTGCGGACTCCCAGCGGCCGCATCGAACTCTTCTCCGAGAGGATCGCAGCGATGGGGTACGACGACTGCCCCGGCCAGGCGACCTGGCTGGAGCCCGACGAATGGTTGGGCAGAGCCGACGATGACACGCCGCTGCACCTGATCTCCAGTCATCCGCAGCACCGCCTCCACAGCCAGATGGACAACGGCCCGCTGGCGCGGGCCAGCAAGATCCAGGGCCGCGAACCGCTCTGGCTGCACCCCGATGACGCTGCGGAGCGTGGTCTTGAGACAGGCGACGTGGCGCGGCTGTTCAACGCACGGGGAGCCTGCCACGTCGGCGTGATCGTCAGCGACCGGGTGCGGCCGGGCGTCGCGATGATCCACGAGGGCGCCTGGATCGACCCGCTGGAGCCGGGCGTGCCAGGCTCCCTCGACAAGCACGGAAACCCGAATCTGGTAACCGAGGATATCGGCAGTTCGCGCCTGAGCCAGGCCTGCGCAGCGCAAAGCGTCCTCGTTCAGATCGAGAAAACCGACGGTCCGCTTCCGGACATCACTGCCTACGATCCCCCAGAGGTTGCCTGACCATGACAGACCGTGAAACCGAGGGCACCGGCCAGACGCGCCGGGCCGCCTTGCGCAGCCTGATGATCGCCGCCGCAGCCTTGCCGATTCTGGCCGTGCGAGGCCCCAGCGTCGCGCTGGCGGCCAATCTGAAGCCCTTCCGCTGTCCCGAAACGGAATGCGGCTATCTCTTCGATCCCGAGATCGGCGTGCCGGAACACGGCATCCCGCCGGGCGTCGCCTTCGCCGAGCTCCCAGACGATTGGGAATGCCCGGAATGCGGCACGCCGAAGTACCTCTGGTAGATGCCAGCGCCCCCGACGGACCCCGGCCAAAAGGTCGCAACGACCGTCAGGGCGCCGCTAGATCCGCAGATTCTCCGGCATAACAACGACGCGCTGCCGTGTTGACCGAACAATCGCGCACAAATGACGGCGGAACTTCACGGAGCCGTAACAGAACCGTCAAACCTGCCGCGTACCTCTCCTCGCAAGGCTGAGCCTCCGAACGCTCGGCCGTCTTTCGTGTGTCAAACAACGAGCGCCGCGGTGGCCGCCGCGCGCGCCCTGCCGGGAGAGGTCATTCCATGAAGAACAGCGATCTGTCGCGCTATTCCTGTCGCGCGGAAGCCTACGAGGCCTCCGAAGACATCCCCTCCAACCGCTCCGAGGCGCCGACGATCGGCGACGTGATCAACCGCCGCTTCGGCCGCCGAGACGTCCTGAAGGGCGCGCTGGGCGTCGCTGCCATCGGCGCGATCGCCGGCAGCGGTCTGGCTGCGATGGGCGGCAAGAAGGCGCTGGCCGCCTCCGCCTCCTTCAACTTCAGCGAAATCTCCCACGGCGTCGACGAAACCCATCACGTCGCGCCCGGCTACAACGCCGAGGTTCTGATCCGCTGGGGCGATCCGGT